GCTTTGATCCCAGCCAAGCCATCCCACAAATTTCAATCATCTCTTTCTGAGTTTCAGTGTTTTTCGTCACCCATTTTCTTTAGAACTTCCTCATTGCTCGCATGTTCTGTCCATGGTATTCTTTAGCAACTGTCTGTAGAACCACATCTCTTTTGTTTCTAGTTTCTTTTTCATCTGCCAGGAAACTCTCCAGCATTCATTGCTGTACAGGAAGAGAGATGTGACATAGAAACAAAAAAATGTGCTGAGCTGCTCACAAAATAATTCAGATGATTCTTTAATGAACTTTAAAAAAAAAACAAAAAAAAACAGGAATAAAACACATTTTCAATATTTTAAATGCCTTCTTTGAACCTAAATTTCAGTTCTATCTGAAAGATGATAGTCTAAAGTTAATCTGAATTCAAAGAAAACATTTCCATATAAAAATAAACTTTTTAGACATTTTTAAAGCATTAGTACTTTTTTCATCATTCATTGACTAATTGAGCTGCCATTTTGTACAAAAAATGTAACAACATATTTAAAATTCTCTAAAAATCAATATTTTCCAAATTTTCTCTATTAAAATTTAAAATTTGGATTTTCTAAAATGTTTTTTTACTTAAATAGAATATTTAGTAAATTTAAAAAAAATAATAAATTTTCTAAAAAAATAAAATCTAAAGTATGGAAGTACTTTTTATTTATGTTTAAAACTAAATTTTCAGAATGATAACCAAAAAATTATTTTTCTATACACTTTTATTTAGTATAATTAATGTTTTTATACTGACTCAAAAATTAAAGGTATATCGAATAGTAGTCAGAAAATATATCAGAAATAATTCTACCCAAACATAATCTAAAAATGTTGCAAAAGAAAAAAAAAAAGAAAATTATTTTTAAAAAAAATGGTCTAAAATAACATTAAAATTTGTAATGGAAACATGTACAAAATAATTTCTTGTAATTTTGTTAAAATGAAATAAAATTTAAATTTTCTTTTATTCTGTTGAACCTGGAAGAAAATTATTTTTTGAATTTTAATTGAATTGTTTTTTGGCAAAATGCGGACCGAATTACCACGCTTAATATTCCATAATTTTGTTACTGAAATAATATCTTCAGGAATTTTTTTTATATATAACTCAGATTTAATCAAATTTAAAAAGTATCGAAAAGGAGGGGGATGAAACATACCACCAAAACAATATTTCTTCAAGGTTTTTTAATAAAATAACCAATTCAGTAAAGTATGCATTCATTAATGAATAAGTCCTGAAAAGTTTGTTTAAATCAAATAATTCCCTGATTTTTGGCAAATATTTGAAAACAGGATGTGTCGATATTTTTGCTTTCATTGCGGAAAAAGTATCCATTTTGGGTGGTACAACAATGTTATAGAGTAATAATAATAATTCAGGGGAGAAAACAAAGGCAAAATAATTAAGAGTTACCTCCCTTTCTGTTTCATTGTCATGTCAGCTTAACAAAAAAAAATATTAATAATTTGATATTGAAACAAACACAGACACACATTTGTTCCGTTTTGATCCGCGGAAGCCTACCTAATTATCACGAAATGCGTAATCAAGTCAATAAAACTTTTTTTTTTATTTGTCAAAATTTATCAAACTCTGTCTGGATTCTATATCCTATTTACACACACACAAAAAACACATACATGTTTGTGTCTGTGTGTGTGTGTATGGAAAATTTCAGATATAACTAAAAAATATATCTGTAAAACTACAATATGAATAAAAACAAAAGGAAAACTTAGCTAACCCATTTTGTCTTCTGTCAAGGCAAATGCAAGGATTTTATTTTGTAACAAGTATTTATAAACAAAAGTAAAAATGCCAATAGTTTTTCAAAATTTTGTAACTGAAACCAAGATGGCATGTCAGGATTGACAACATTGCTGATTCTTCTTTAGAATTTATCAAGAATCTCTAAATACATAGTATAAATCCCAGATTAGATGTGACAGCAATAGTCAATAAATGAACAAATGGTAGATTTATGTGTAAGACAAATTCCAGTAAGAACTTCCAGATGAGGCAAAAGTAGAATTAGAAGAGAATTTATGAGCAAAACATTTTGCTTTATCAGTAGATGATGATGATAACACCACAAATAGCATAAAGAGAGGAACTGATTCTTATTTAACACACTATTATAGAGCTGATAGGAGTCATGGGAACCAAACCTGTTAGAGGTTATGTGGTACCTCATTCTGTTATTGAACAAATACTGAACCTATTTAAGGTCATGTTTACAGACATAAAAAGGTGTCTGTTGTAATTGGAACTATCACATTGGTACAGCCAGAAAAAGTGATTCCTGTGGGCTATAATGGCTGAAGAAGCAGGTATGAACGAAGAAGAACTATTACTGAAATATTTGTAACAAAATTTATATTCAGTTTTGATGAATTCTTTTCAATTGTAGTCATCATTAAGCTGTTAGGTGTCTGATATGTACTCATTTTTATTCTGGCTGTATTAATTTCTTTTTTTGTTTTTGTGGATTTTATAAGCTTTCTTCTTTGAGTTGAATATAAAAAATGAAATGAAATAATTAACGCCAGCTTAGGGAAAGTACTAATATTCATTATTTAATATATATATATATATATATATATATATATATATATATATATATATATATATATGAAGAAATATAGTTTATGGTGTGCTATATTTATGGGATAAAAGTGCTCAATATCAGAGATAGATCGTACGTAAATATAAAAGTGAACATTGAAGTCAACACTCAGAGGTGACAGGATGTTTCATGCTAGACATGGCCTGATGATTGCATCTAGCATGAAACAGCCTATCCCCTCTAAGTGTTGACTTCAATGTTCACTTTTATATATATATATATATATTTAGAATGGATTTTTATTAATCCGACAATTTTGTATCACTTTAAACATTATTTTTAGTGGATACCTGTATTCAAGTAGGTACTGCATTTATTTATTAAACATTTATAATTATTTATTTTCACCTGTCAGCTTGAATATTTGAGAAATCTTCTTAAAGAAAAATTTGTGCCCTTTGGCAGAGGGAGCCACCATTTAGCCAACTTGGCCATGATGGTCAGGTGAAGCCAATTTCATGTTTTTAAGTGTAATTTGCCCCATCATAGATTTTTCAAAGTTTTTTCATATCTACACGAAGTTTCATATCCAAATGTAAACAAAGAAAATTTATAGAATGGATTTTTATTAATCCAACAATTTTGTTTCACTTTAAACGTTATTTTCAGTGGATATTTAAGTAGGTACCTCCACTAATTTTCGATACTTTGGTTTAAAAATGAATTTTTTATAAATGAAAAAAAGATCTTTCTTGAATATTCTTTAATTAAAAGCTAAAAGATTAAATTTACTATTTCTAAAAAAATACTTGTGTGTATTTCAAACAGAAATTACCTTAATTGGAATCGATTTTTTTTTCTAAAATAACTGATTAGCATTCTTTTTTTAGTTGTCTTTCATCACAATGTAATTCTCTGGATTAAAAAAATCTTCCAAAAATAAAATAAACTTTTCTGAAACTTTATTTGAGGAATATTACCTGATTTAAAGTATAATTAATTTCATTTAAAACAAATATTATTTACTTTAAGTTTAAAATAATACAGAAATGTATTTTTTAAACAAAACAGTAGATGTTTTTTTATAACCAACACTGCCATGTTTTACATAACTGATGAAAAGTTTTAATTGATTTTTTTTATCTGTAAAACACAATTTAAGAAAAATGCCATGAGTGTCATTTTTTTATATAGTTTTTAAGTACTCAGTAATGTTAAAAATGTTGGAAAATATTTTCCGTAATCTAATTTTAGAAATGTTGACTTTAAATTTAGTATAGTCATCATCACTCTTACTTTCTGATAATGTTGTATATGGTCAATCATACTTTCAGAAAATGGGCACATTATGTAATATTTTATATACATAAAAAAATTTTAAATTATTTTTAAAATCTTGTAATTTTCTTTTCATTTTTGTTTAAATATAGTTTTTAATAACAATATCCTTAACTGGATGACCCGCAGAATTATAAAAGATTTATATATTATAATATACTACAATTAAAATTTTTAAAAAAATGAAACAAAAAAAATTCAAAGATCAAAAAAAGTTTTTTTTGAGGCAATAGTGTCCTTATTAAATCTTATTTATAAAAGCAATTAAAAGCTTTTCTAATTAAATAATGTCATAGTTTTAAATTTTATTCAGAGCAGATTTTCATGAGTAGTAGTATGAAAAAATAAAATTAATGATTTACATTCTCAGAGTCCTGCTTTTTTGAAATGAAAATTTAATTTCTCAAAATTTGTTGAAATTAAGTAAGTGATGGGGTAACATATGTAAAAAAAAATATTTTTATTAAGACTTTCTAAAAAAAAAAAAATCTGACTATTATTTAATTTTTTCAAGAATTTCCAAATGTGTTTTTCACCTGAAAAGCAGTGTTAAAATGCTAATTGTAAACATTATGTTGACCACTGACACAAAAAAGACAAGATTTTTAACCAAAATTTCAAACATGATAGAAGTGATTAAAAAAATTTAATAAAAAATACTTTGGTCTTTCCTCTTAATGATAATTTAAACATTTTGATGATAAAACTTTGTTTTTAAGTTTGGGGCCTTTTTTTCATCATGCTATGCTGTTTTTTCAATGAAAAAGTGAAGGTACCTATATTTGAGTAGGCACTCCATTTATTTATTAAACAGTATATTTATTTTCATCTACCAGCCTGAATATTCCAGAAATCTTATCAAAAAAAAAAATTGTGTCCTATTTATTACATGCACAAATATTCCTAACAGTCACATATATAAATAAATCAGTATAGATATATAAATATTCAATATTACTCTGGTTTTGTTACTCAGAAATACATTGTTTTCATTGACTTTTTTTTTATTGCTTTTTAAAAAACAATTCAAGTGAGTTTAACTTGATTTATTGATATATTTATATACTTACTTCCAATAAAGTTGTTGCACCTGTGTAATCTCTCTTCTGTAGAAAATCTTCTAGTTTTGGTAATTCCTGTCTTTTCTTGTCATCTTTGTTTTGTGTTGTAGCACCAGCCCCTGTTGCTGGCTTGGCACGTGATAACATCTGATCAAAATAAAGACATGAGACAAAGCCATTAAATACATCATAAATATTTATCTTCGTCATAAATATCACTATGTAGGTACATTGGCAGTTTAGTGAATCTAAAGAAATTGTAAACGTAAAAGAAATCAAAAAGATAAGAAAATAATATATAAATGGCACTTTCAGTGATTTCCGCTTGATGTCAAGTTACATTTATATTGTAATTATTTACAAATGTTACTTATCCCTAATCTTAATTATTATTGACTAGCTTAAAAGCGGCACTCTGTGCAGATTTTTAAGCTAGTTAGGCCCAAAACTAAAGGGACCTCTGGTCTAACTCAGAAAACAGCAATGAGAATTTTGAAGAAATAACTTTGAATTCTTCAATTCACTCTATGAAACTTCATAACCTTACTTAACTATTTGGGCTATAAGTCCAATTTTGATCAAAAGTTCGATTTGTGCTGAAATTCCAATTAGGGAAGAAAATTGAGTTCTTCAAATCACAAACTCTTTTAAAATCTCATATCATTTTTTTAACTTTTATTAAGAAATAAAATTTCCTCAATTCACAAAGTTTTGGAAATATTTTAAACTGAATTTAAAATAAAACTTTTTAAATTCACAAAGTTTTTGTGCTACTTTTAAATCAATATAGATTAAAAACTTTTAAAATCCCAATGCTAGATATTCAAATAACATATGAAGGGCAAATTTTCATTCCTAGGACCATCCTGATCCCAAAAAAGATATATGTCTACATAGAGCATGTATGGCCTCAGTTAGACGGGTTTCAGACACACAAGCAGACAGATAAAATTTGCAGTTTATATTTAAAGTAAAGAACAAATTAAAAATTGTTCAGAAGCTGACGTCTTAATTGAACTAGAACTTGTTTTATTCTTCATTTTAAAAGTATTGTGCAGATATCACATGATAGTGCCATTTCTATTATGTCATTAAGTGCACAAACTTATAGAAATCAGATTGTTATTACAGAGATAATCTGTATGTGCAAAGAATAATGATGGATTCTTGTACAACTTTTACAGTCTACTAAACTAGATTTCTTTATTGCTCATTTAAGTCTGTGGTAATATGACATATAACAGTGTGAGGTATGCAACTTCCAGTCAAATATTATTCAATAGTAACAAAATGTTAAACGTTTATCAAGATGAAAACAATGCCTTTGCAATGAAGATGCAATATTTATTGCATTTCACTGGAATATATAAGTAAAAGAAGCCAACAGTCACATAAAAGTGGGAAATAAGATCAGAAAACAAAAATAATCCGACACGCACATAATAATAAGAGGCATCAATAACGTGTACCAAGAAACATTTTCAAATCACTAATTGAAAAAAGTTTTCAATTACACTCACCAATGTGGCCTGCTATTTTTATCAAATTTTTGAAAGAATCTAAAGTAAATACCATGTGCTTGCACATTAAATCAAAGAAAAAGTGACAATAATGAAAAAAAAAAAAAAAATCAACCACCATAATCCTAGCATTCTTTGATATTTTTTTTTCTGTCTCAAATAATTTCTTCATACCAGACATTGATTTACCTCCTTTACATTCAACCGAAACTTTTTGGGACTAACCTCCTGTTTTCAGGATATTTTTCCTGCTTCTGTGTGCTTATTGGTCAAAAATATCTTTCTGTGTAAAGTGAAATATTATCCATGTTTTTTTTTTTTTTTCCATTTTTCATGCTGGAGTTACTAAAAAGATTTCTCTTAAATAAAGAAGAAATGGCTCCATTTTTATTTTAAAGAACAAAAATATATCGAGAAAATTATGTATTTGTTGCAGAGGTGAAGGTTAAATAAGTATGAAAATTAATCAGAAAGCTCTTTAGTCATATGAGGTCAGCTGTGTGTATAAAATTTCACTCCTCCACAAGCATTTAACTTTAAATGTATGGCACAAGGCTAATAAGGCAATACAAAAGATGACAACAATGATGTAAAACAACAAAATATTTATATAGGAATAATACAAATTATCAAGAATAAACTGCTCAGAATGTTTAGCTGAGTCAAGCTGAATTTCAAAGATCAATATTGTTAACTGAGCAAATGAAAATGCTTTATAATGTTCATTTCAAACAGTGTTTTAGTACAAAATTTACAATGCAAAAATAAGAGTTAACTATGAATTTAACCGTTTGAAAACTTTTCTTTGAAAGAAAAAAATTTTTAACTGGTTTCACAATAAAAAAGAGTTTGTTTTTACAAGAAATGTTCTTTGTGAATTAGTTGAAAGTTTTTGTGTAATATGAATACTGTGAGAATTTGGTAAAAAGAAACTTTAAATTATTACTTGATGTTTCAAGAAGTTTCTGTTCTGTACTGAATGAAATTTAATTTGGGTGCTTCTGAAAATAAATACAATAGATCTTGCTGCTAAAAGAAAATGTTCATCAAAGAGTAAATTCTGTTAAATAGAACCAAATGAGAAAGCTTCTTTGAATTATGTCCTGAAAAGCTGAAAATATGTTCAGTAAACTTTTAGCTTCAGAAGACTTTTTTTAAGTATTTTCTTGCTGGTGAAGAATTGGAAAAAACTGGAATATCCAAGTTAAATTTATTAGGCGTGGCAGTGATGTATCTGGTTGACTTATCTTTGGTCTCCCTATTTATTTGGTTCTCTGTAACATGACTGGCTCCAGACTGCTGTTCAAAAATATTGGCAGCAAAACCTGATTGCATAGGCGTCATTCATATTTATTATTATTTAGCCAATCAGAAAAATAGCAAGGTCTGTGTGATTCACTTTTTTGCACAAAGTTTTCATTTTTTAAGAAGACATATAGTAATTGCATTGCATTATTTTTTAACCAATGATTTATTGAGAAGAAATTTAAAAACTTAAGTTGAACGCTAAATATCCATTTTTATTCTTAACTTAAGATTAATAATTATGAACCTAAAATGTTTGTGAATGTGCTTCCAAAGAAAGTATTTGAAAAAAAAATGTTTAAAAAAGTTTTAAAAATTCAGAAAATGTAAAAAAAAGAAAAAGTACAGATACTCAGATATATGTGAGCACATTTTCAAAACTGACATGTATGAACAACAGCTAAGTGACTTAGCCTAAGGGCAATAACTCTGTAAAAGTCAGGGATTGATTTGACACTATCGATATTTTAAACAGGACCCCCTTCTAAATCGATAACAAATCCATATTTTTCGATTGTGACAAGTGTCGTGGCATCAAAAGCTTATCTACAAAATTTATTTCCTTAGAAAAATTTTCCCTTTTTTTTATGTAAGTGGACCAGTCTCTTTAAGTAGTGTCTGGAAAAAATAGAATAAATTTAGGATAGTATTTTTTTTTCATTTATTTATTTCAAATGCAAGATTTTTCAACCTCAAAGGTTTGGTTTGATTTGGTTTGGTTTTATGGCATATCAACCTCAATGGGTTATTTAATGCCGACAAAACTTTTATTGTTGGTATTATTATTTTTTTTTAATTTATCTCTGGTAATATTTTTCCTTCAAAAATTCTATTTCTGGTAATAATTTTTTTCTTTCAAATATATATCACTGGTAATATTTTTCTTTTTTTTTCAAAAAATGTATAGCTGGTAATATATATTTTTCTTTTTTTTTTCTCAAAAAATATATTGCTGGTAATATTTATTTTTCAAAAATGCATTGCTGGCAACATTTGGTTTTCAAAAATGTATTGCTGGTAATAATTTTTTACAAAGTATTTCTGGTATTAAAACCTATTTTTACACTTTCATAGTGTTTTGACCCCAGTTACAATTCCATTGAATAATGTTTTGCATCTTGATTATGAATTATGAATTTCTACATGTCCAATTTTTTTTTTTTTTAATATAGGTGAAGTGTCCATCATTTCTATATTCTCCAGACTATTAGCGTTTTGTTTCTTGTTATGTTTTGTTCTTTGAAATTTTTTTTCTACTTTCTTGTTTGATTTTGCTCCCTTAGTTTTAAGATTCAGTTCTTTTAATGAACTTTGTCTAGATGATGATCTTTCCCTTGTTTGTGATGGGATCGAGTTTTATTCCTCTATGTCCATTTTTCTTGGTTCATTAATTTTTTTTTTTTTTGTATCTTTTCATTCTCTTGAGAATGTTTCAATGTTTATTTCTTGGATTTTTTTTTCCGTTTGGATTTTTCGGGTTTAATAGTTTTGTAGATGTAGAGTCATTTTTGTTTGCGATCACAGGGTTTGTTTTTCCATTAGGTTCTTTTAATGATCTTTGTATAGATGATGACCATTCCCTTATTTGTGATGGGCTAAAAAGTTTTGTTTTTCTATGTCCATTTCTCTTGATTCTTCACTAAAAGTTGAATTATTTTGTTATGTACCTTTTGATTCTCTTGAGAATGTTTAAAGGTTTCTATTTCTTGGATTTTTGTTCTTTGGTTTGGAATTTTCAGATTTAATTATTTTGTACATGTAGAGACTTTTTGTTTGAGGTTGACAGGACAGGATTTTTTTTGTCTATGGGTATTTGATTTATGAGTGATATACTACATTTTAGTAGTTCTACTAAACTTTTTAATTCGTTAATAAGAGTTATAAGATCTTGGCTTCTTAATGCATTGTTTTCTTGGATGACTTTTTGTCGATTTCATATTTTAGTCATATTTGCATATGATGTTTGAAGTGAATTAGATTCAACCTGTTTCCTGGCTTCTTGGAATGAGATATTTTATGTGTATTTTCTTCTAATTATTTCCTTTTCCTTTTTCCAAATGTTACATGCTTTGGAGTCTGCTGGATGTTTTTCTTTACAGTTTGGACATAAAGGAGGCCTTTCACAAGGTGATTCATCATGCTCAGTTTCCGGTTCCCCACATCTTCAACAGACTGATGTTCTTATACAAACGTTTTGAAGATGACCAAATTTTTGACATTTATGACATCTACATGGATTAGGAATGTATAGCTCTACCTTGGTTATTGTGTAACCTATCTTTATTTCTTTTGTTAGAGTCAATTTGTCGAATGTCAAGATGTATGTGTTGGTGTAATTACTGTGTCATTTCTTTTTACTTGCATTCTTTTAATGTTTGTTACTCCTTGCTTTGTTAGGATGTCATCATTTTTAATTTTTTCAGATGAACAAAGTGACAGTTCTGGGCATTTTATTACTCCTTTTGATGAATTAAGAAATTGATGGGGTAACCTTTGACTTTATTGTTGTCAATTTGCTTGATTTTTAGCAATTTCTTTGCGTCTTTTTTGAATATCACTTGAATTAATAGGGTATTATTTTTCTTTATTTTTTTAACAGATTGTGGTTTGATTATGTCTGAAATAACCCTTTGCAACACAAAAGGAGACACTTTTGATATATCATCCTCTACTGATTCTACAACAATGAAAGTTGGAAATTGATATTTTCCTATTTCATTTTCACTTTCAGAAGTCTCATATCGTCTCTTGGTTCACTTATAAGAGATAGCTATATAATTTTAATTTTTGTATTTGCTGTCTGTGCTCAACACCCACCTCCCCACTAATCCCATTTGCCCTAATCCGCCAAGGCTACACAGACAGTATAGTTGTGATGAAAGTGGATACAAGCACCTGCAGTCCCCCACCATATCTATCCAAGTATAGTATGATGTAAGGTTTTGTGGCCCTGTCAGACCCATTATCTATCATCCCAACTAGCCCTTGCCACTATGTGACTAACCAATTGGAATGGATTGGGCTATTCCATCCGCCCGTCTATCCCAGGTAGGGACGAAGTGACATGTTGTGGAAACTCCTGATCATTTTATACCAGGTCAGCAGTCACTCAGTCACCAGGCGAGGACTCTGTCCCCAGGCATCACAGGTTGCCACCCATGGCAAACAGGTGGCCCCATTAAGGGGAAATTTTAGTTTTTTAAAATCGGGTTTTGTGAATGTGCACTTTATATACTGCAATTGGTGTTGATGGTATTATTATTACAAAAAAAAAACATTCTTACACTTTCCTAGTATTCCGACTCCAGATCAAGGGATGGGGAAACTATTTACCCATAGCTGGGACCCTAATGGGTGCTACCATCCCTGGTCATGGTGGACCTGGGAACAACAGCAACTAAAAGGCGGTTCCACGCTCCTCAAAACCTCCTGATCAGTGGCCTTGCTGCTGGAAGCAGTTTATCGTCATACCCAGGATAGTCAACCTCAAAGGAGGGATCAGAATGTGAGTCATGTTTAAAAGGTTTATGTGGTACGTAAGGCCGGTAAAATCAGTGTCTGATATGTAAATTTGTTTGAAACGCTAAACTTAACAATACTCAACTATCGTCGTCAGTTTGGGAACATAATGTTTGTTAATAATGCTGACGGTCGAAATCCTACATCGATTTTCTTCTGTAGTATTTTCAAGGCGAAAACACGAAATTTTTTAGACATTAAGAAAATAATTGTAATTTAAAGATTACTTCTTAAATTGTGTCGTTTAGTAAAACAAATCGAATAAATTTAAATATAAGCAAAGAGGGAAGATAATTATATATTCTTTTAATTCAACAAAGTCAAACAAAAAAAATAAACATTCAAATTCAAGAAATTAAATTGTATGTCGTGTTGACAAGATTGTTGTGGTTGATTATATAGTAAAAAAACAATTTTTTAATGAGTAAATTGCAAAGATGGATTAATAGTAATAATCTTTGTTAAAAATAATATACCGGATTAAACAGTGAACAGTTAAAAACTTACCATTTTGTATAATATATTTCTGAGAGAAACTTTCTGAACAAAGTTGAAAAGACGTTTTTGCTTCTTTTCCTCCCTGGTTACCGATACATCCGGTCAAGGGTAGACAACTCCAAATGTTTCACGCCGCGCTATTGCTAAAATAAATTGATGGTTTAAGTTTCAATCTTCATTGCCGAGTTAAAAACATTCGATAGCATAAGTTATTATTTTATTATTATTATTTTTTTTTAATCGAGTACGCCCCAAGCAAGGCAGTAAAGCTACTAAGACACAAGGGGTTACTGGGTGTGGAAGAATTAGAAAAAAGAAACATTTACTTAAGGAGCAAGAACAAAAGAAGAGTAATTAATCAGGCGGATTATGAAAAAAATAATAGGATAAAAGAAAACTATTATTATATATTTTGAGGGTGAGGTTAAAAAAAATAGGGGAGAATGAAGATCAAGTGACAACAAGGCGCACCGTAAAAAATGACGAGATGTATTCAGTGAGAAAAGTCACTTTTAGCTTAGGTACCTCCACTAGGTCGCGTAAAAAACAGCATAAAAAAGGCCCCAAGCTCAATAAAAACTAATTTTTGTCATCAAAATGTTTATGTTATTATTAAGAGAAAAGACCAAAGTATTTTTTATTAATTTTTAAATTTTTTTTACTCCTTTCTAGCACGTTAGAAATTTTGGTTAACTTGTTTTTTTTTTTACAACAGCGGCGAACTAGAGAAAAATATTTGTTTTATTTTGCGCTTTTTCCGAGGAAAACACACATTGATTTGGAAATTCTTGCAAAATTCAAATAATTGTCGGATTTTAACGAAACCTTCAGGACATATTCAGAAATGAATTAAATTATTTTGGAAATTTGTATTTTTAGAAAATCTTGGTAAATTTTTTATTTTTTAGTTACATATGTTACCACCCACTTCCATAATTTCACGAAATTTCAAGAAATTAAATTTTTAAGCGGGGATTTTTTTTTAATTAGTTAAAAACAAGACTAGTCTTTGGAGAGAGTAAATCGTCAATTATAATAATTTTACAATGAAACCAAAACAATATTATTAAAATAAAAGCAAATTTTACTAAATAGGGATGCATAAATTTGATGGGTTGTGAGCCAGGAAAAGGGGATAATAAATTTCCGTACAAGTAACTTATTTTTTCTAAAATAAGGCTCAATGGTAGTTGTAGCAACAGGATGAAATTTACACTCTAAATCAATCAAATAACACAAGAAAAATGCCAGCGTATAAAAAAACAATGCAAATTTCAAGGAAGAAAGCACAATAAAAACTAAAAAGGGTTTCACTTGAGGTCGAACACAGGGTATTTACATTGAAGGTATAAAATGTGAATGTTTTTAATAGTTCTTGCTTGTGATTTGATATGAGTTGTCAATTCGTGACAGAATCCGTTCGCGCCTTCTTAATTTTCAACGTAGAGCGTTGTTTTTCGAACGGTACTTGTTCTCTGGCGTGAAAACGACTATTTGGTTACAAAAGTCGGGGTGAAAACAATACTTAATTTTGTCGTGAAAACAACAATTTGGTCGTTACGACTTCGTCGAGGAGTGGGTTTCTTTGAGCCTACGTTCTGTCAGGTTTTAGGTGCTTTGGAAGCTGCTTCACATTATGTATCATCTAATTTATTGACTGATGGAAATAATATATACTCCACAATTCCTGGAGCCTCTTTATAAAAAATAAATAAATAAATACAAACTATAAATAGCCAAACAGAAATACTCCTTTCTGTCTCAACAGCAGTCACGACCTGACGTCAGAGTCAATTTCAGCAACCAGTAAGTCCTTCCTACTACCACTCCTTAGGCAAAAAAAAGTCCCCCTCTAACCTACACTCAGCCAGTCAGTTTTGTACCATGCGTGATAGTCGCTTAGGCGATCATGTATCTTTTGATACATGACTGACGAGGCAGATTTTTCCCGCAGTAGGTTCCCATAGACCAGTTGCCATCTAAGACTATAGAACCCCGTCTATCCTTCTATTTACTCATAGTTGGGGGAGAATAGAATTCATACCTTCCCAAGGGTATTAGCACGTAAGTGAATATAATGGATTCGACTGGAATTCGAACTCGGCTCTCCGATTCTTCAATCCGAGCCCTTATCCATGCCTCCTACAATACGGACTCAAAAATAGAAAACACGTCCTTTTACAGGACTGTCCAATTCTACTTAATTTGGGGTCTAGAGACAATTACTGTGAATGTATATATCTGTTATCTTTTGTCTTTCTTATAAGATGCACTTGTTATGTGTCCAGTCGGCTTTTTATTCCTTCAAATCACGTTCGTTCAATGTGTTAATGCCTTCGACGAATAATATGAGCTTACAGCCACGTCACGTTGAAACCCCGGTCCCCTACGATTATCAAAGTTAAGCAACATCGAGCCTGGTCAGTACCTAAATGGGACACGTTTTGAGAATATAAGGTGCTGGATGTGCAGATGGTGTAATGAATAACAGCTCGGAATTGTTAATCGGAGATCCGTGTTCCAATTCCCCTTTGGGTTCGTTATATTCACTTACGCGCAAATACCACTGGAAAAGGCATGAATCCACCTCTTTTTCTCTCCAGTTATGGTTTAATTAGTAATATTAGTTAGTTGTTAAACCATTATTATCTCCCAGAATAAAATAAAATTGTGTGCAAAATATTTAGATTTCAACATTAAATTACACATAGAGGTTGATATGCTGCTAAACGAAAACAAATAACCAATACACACACACACACACACACACACACACATAGCAGACACCCAACAGCAAAATGACTACAACGGAAAAGAATTTATTGAAAATTCATATAAATTTTGTTACAAATATTTCAACAATAATTCTCTTTAGTTCACATCTGCTTCTTTAGTCGCTATAGCCCACAGGAATTACTTTTTTTCTGGGTGTAGCAATGTGATATTCAATCACAACAGACACCTCTTTGTCTGTAAACATGCTCTTAAATAGCCTCAGTCTTTGTTCAATAACAGAATGAAGTACCGCATAGACTCCTGACAGCTCTGTAATAGTGTGTTAAAAATAAGAGTCAGTCTTATATCACTCCACTCTTCACTCTATTTGAAGTGTTACCATTATCTGCTAATAAATGTTTTTTTTTTTTCCTGAAAAGGAAGGATAAGCAGTAGAAAACGAATCAATCAATCGACGAACAATACTGGTCATGCGATAAATCATACAGCACGCAAAGGATTTTTGTCCGGCCTGCCAACTGAACCGTAGTAAAGAATTTGTATTTTTTGTTGATTGCGTTAGTTGTTATCCTGTTATCCCTACAGTAAAATAAGGAACCTTGTTTAACCATTTGAGCCCTGCGTTCCTGAACAATTTTAATTCTTCTGTCTGAGGTCCTCAGTCAAAATTCGCAAATAATTGGTATGCAATATTTCACGGTTGATATAAAAATAGTTACAAGTGTTTATCCGTCGTTCAACCGGTAGTTGAGCCTTAAGTTAGATACCTCCATGAAAATCGATAAAAAGAGCATAGCATGACAAGAACGGCCTTAAACTTGATGAAATTTTTTTTTATCATCTTACTTATTATAAAACGCAGATTGTGTGTGTGTGTGTGTGTGTGTGTGTGTGTGTGTGTGTGTGTGTGTGTGTGTGTGTGTGTGTAACGTTTATATATTGGATCGGATTTTCTACATCTTTCAACCGATTTCAACAAAACTTCACAGGACTACGTAAAATTACCTTGCGGTGGTTCTAACAGCGCCAAAATTTGGAAAAACACAATTGTTTTTGCACGAAATCAATTTGAAAACACGATTAAGAAGCATTAATGAAAGGGGGACAACTCACTTCTGGTTAAAAACCCAGGTTGTGTGTGTGTGTGTGTGTGTGTGTGTGTGTGTGTGTGTGTGTGTTCGTTTATATATGGGATCGGACTTCCTCCATTTTTCAGCCGATTTCAACAAAACTTCACTTTTTTTTGGCAGGTAGTGTTTCTTATTGTCTTGCACACTTTTTTCTTTATTTTTACATTCTGAATGCTTTAAAAATTCCATTTACAAGACAATTATTTATAATAAAATTCTGTTCAATCGGTAGACTCATAACGATTGAAAACAATGTTTTTGTTTGAGTTTGGGTTTGACCAATTCGTAAAAAAAATAAAAAAATAAAAAATAGTTAAGACATGCGTGTCCGTCAGTCTTAAACAAATAATCTTTGTCAATTTTATTTTTCAGTCTTTATGATGGTCGATACTTGATCAATCTCTTACTGTTACATCCCCGGGCAACCCCGGGCTCTACTGCTAGTCTTAAATATATATTTCATTATTAAGAAGAAATACCAAAGTATTTTTTTTATTATTTTTTGAATTTTTTACTCATTCTTAGCATGTCCGAAATTTAAAGTCATTTTTTCTCTACCAGCGTTCAACCGGTGTTTGGGCATTACGTCATTTTCCCTACTACCGGTAAAACGGTGGTCAGAGCTGAAAGGGTTAAATAATATAACATTAACTTCGTTGTTTCTTCTTTGGATTTACAGACCAAGGTAGTCTTCTAGACGGAGCTGTCTGAGGTGAAGATAATTTATTATAGTACATTTGATATCATGGCTCTCCTCCGAGACACTGGATCGCTCCCTCCAAAAGGTTACCGACCCCTGCGATAGATAATGTCAAATACAACACTTGATTAAATTTAAAAGTCAAATTTAATGAGAATGTATTAAATGAACTTCCTCGCTAATATGCTCTTCTTCCATTTAGTACACTTTATTCTTGTATACAGATACAATTATTCAGTCAGATATGTGCTATGCGTGATCACGCTTATGAGATCATGTATCTTTTGATACATGACTGACGAGGCAGATTTTTCCCCGCAGTAGGTTGCCATTTCTTTCTGCGGTAGACCAGTTGCCATCTATGAGTAAATTTCTGTCCCCCTATTTACCCATAGCTGGGAGAAGAAGAAGAGGAGGATTCATACCTTTCCCAAGGGTATTAGCACGTAAGTGAATGTAATGGATCCCACTGGAATCCGAACTCGTCTCTCTGATTCCTCAATCCGAACCGCTTGTGATGATCATCATCACACACATACATACATACTTACGCAAATTCAAATTATACAACAACAAGCTCTTATTGGATAATAAATCAACACTACTGTGTAATGCGACAATTTTATAATCGCTATATTTTCATGTAGTCGATTTTGTGCACTTTTGGGAGAATCGGATCCCAGAAGCTTTTCGTGAGTCTCCCCAAAGCTCGCTCGCTGATTGGTCAATGCCAACCAATCAGATTGTTTGCACATTCGGAGCCGATGATCACCTATATAAGCAAAGAAAATTCTTAGTAAACCAGTGAGATCTCAGCTGCCACAGAAATCCACGACAGTTGAAACCATGCGCCAACCTTCTCACTCACACCACCACTAACATGCTGAATATTCCCTATACTCACATAACTTTTTTCTTACACAGCAAAACTGTTGAAAACATTTATTACCAGAAATTATACAACCTTATTGCTTTCAGTGAACTTTGGAACAATTGATAGTTAAAGGGAGACAACTCTTGTTTTACTCAATTTTCTTTCACATCCTTGTTTGTACATCTTGTTAAATACAAATTTTATGTGTAATGATGTAGACTCGTCCAATATCCTTACCTTTCCAACCCTAACAAAAGCAGAGTCCACATCGTACGCCTACGTACCTAAAAAACTTCGACCAATAAAAGCGGCAAGAAACGAAGCAAACAACCCCATTGGTCAATCACTTGAAGTTCACGTGCAAAACGGAAATTGCGCCAAATTCAAGTGAGCCACCCGGTGGATATATAAACAGAGAACGTTTGAACCTTCGAAGGGAGAATAGCAGTAGTAATTACCAAGTTTCAAGATGTAACATTTCACCGACTCCCGTCTTAGTCATTGCTGACCAGACGTTAAAGACAATTACCAACTCCACGCCAGTCAGTCTCACAAATTCGCAGAGTAATTTCCAATATACTCCACGCCACTACGAACCACAATTTTGCCGCGCACGAAGATACATCGCTGACTCATATTCGATCATTCATCAATCAACTCTGTGAACACTTTTCTCAACTTTGCTTATTTACAGTGAATTAAATTCACTACAAAAAATAAGTAAACAATAAACATCAAATACGTTTAAGGGTAGACCACTCTAAAAAAAACTCTTTCCAAAAACTCTTATTATTCATAATTACGATATTTGACACAAACAAAAAGACAGCGAACCAACGAACAATATCAACAAAGAGACATTCCCGAATCAAACAATTACACACACGACACACACTGTCCACACGACACACACTGATTACCCAATCTGTATATTGTTAAATTGTATATAAATGTTGCATTGTTTTCTAAATTGCATATGTCTCGTTTTTAATTGCATTTGAAAGTTCGGTTATTTATTTGTTTGGGATGCAATGAGACACGCAACCATTGAAAATTCCTTCTGATTCTTTCTTAAATAATTAACAATCCTGCACGTCCCCAACAATGTCTTTGGCTTAAAGCACGTCAGATCCAATGTCGGTTTCCCCTAGGGAAACGCTGGTTCGAATCCTGCCGTAGAACACATATTTTTCTAACAATAACCACGGCCTTTTAGACATAAAATAACTTCTAAATAAATAAACGGCAAATTCTGTCTGTCTGTTTGTGTACTTGAAACTCGTCTAAATTGAGCCACTTGCTCTACGTAAACTACACCTTTTTAGAATCGGGATGATGCCGGCATTGAAAATTTGACCTTCATCTGGTGGTTGAATATCCAGCATTGGGATTTGTGCCCGGACAGGTAGGGAACAGTTAAAATTTTTAAAATAACTGAAAAAAATTAGTGATTTTAAAAAATTTTAATTTATATTTGTGATTTTTTTAAAAAAAAAATTGTTTTAAATTCAGTTTAAAATATTTCCCAAACTTTGTGAATTGAGAAAATCAATTTTATTTTTTCAAAATGTCAAGGAATCAGAATTAAAGTGAGAGGTTTCGAAGTTCCGCAGAGTTTGTGATTTAAAGATAATTTTCAGCGTGAATTGGAATTTCGACCCAAATCGGTCTTTTGGCCGAAATTGAACTTATATTCCGAATCAGAGTTAACGTGAATTTTTGAAGTTCCAAGAAGTGAATTCAGAAATTTAAACTTATTTCTTCAAAATTTTCATTGCTGTTTTCTAAGCTGGACAAGAGGTCCCGTTAGTTTTGGACCCAACCAGGAGCTAGTTTAAAAGTCCGCAGGAGTGTGATATTTAAGCTAGTTATTAATAATATTAACCCTGTCTATTTTAGCTCACCTTTTAGTTCATAAAAGACGGATCATTAGAAACTAGACATATAATTATTTAATGGTTGACGAGCTGAAATATTTTCACAGAATTAAAAACTAAACGAAGATATGTAAGTAGTATTCAGTATAGATCTCGTTTTATGGTGTCCAGGGAATTTACTAATTAAACCAGTAAAATTCTTGACGATTTGTTTTACAAGGTAACGTTTCGGGTGGTCTACAAAAAAAGGTTAATGTGCCGTTACAAGGCAACGTTTTTTTTTTTGCAACGTCTTTGTGTCAGCTGCGAAGGAAATAGTTGATTGCAACGTTACAGTAAAGTCGCCACAATGTCGCATATTCGCCAACTAAAATACGAAACTCCAACGTTTAAAGGACGTTCCGTGTTAGCTGTGTTGCAGAAAAACGTGTTGTTTAGTTAAAACCTGATGCTATTCGACGATATTATTGTATTCACTATATCTAAAATAAATAGGGGCATTAATTTCGGAGCATGCATTATGTATTTGTGTGTGTGTGATGCGGCATTCACCCTGTTGTGAGAAGAAGATTCTTGGGATAAATTACAGAAGTAGGGTACCCAGGCCTACTCGGATAACGTTCTTGCTTGCCGCGGGGTTCCCACAGACGCAGAGACAGGAACGACCAGAAGCCGCCGGTTGCCGATGCAGACGCTCCTTGGATTTTCACCAGAGCCCTTGTTAGCCGGCGTGTGTGTCAAAGTCCAACCCTTGCCTCACAGTCGGTGGGGGGTGGGGTGTAAACGGTAGTGTCAGAGCTATGCCGTCCGGAACTTCGTTCCTGGTAGGGCCACCCAAGGCGGACATTATGTATTTGTTTTAAACAAAAAAAAATTGCAAATATCACAGGAAAAGTCAAGGGTTCCTACTGAATACATTTTTAGTCAACTGAAATCAGTGCGTTAATATTATAATCGGATCACAGTGTACAAATTTGAAAGTAACAATTTTCGGATAACTAGCAATTTGACCATTGTTACGAGGATGCATTTCTATAATAAGGGATTCGACTGAGTTCTACTTGTTATTAAAAAAAGTTTTCATTCATGAAGTAGTTGTAAAATAGAGAAATTAGAAATAGAATGTTTGGAAGATTCTAGATCATTCTAGTATATTCGAGAAAAATCTAGATGATTCGAGAAACATCTAGAAATATGCAAATTAGGTGTTAGCCCCTATAAAAATGGGATTTTGGGAAAAGGGTCGTTAGTTGATGAATGAGAATTTCTGCTGTTATCAACTCCGGCTTTTGATTCAAGGACTATTATATCCAGCCGAAAGAATCTCTATAAAAAGTTGCCGACCAACAAAAACCCAAAAGAGAATTTCATGGAACAAAGTTGGTAAATAGAATTTTGACTAATTTTCATTGACCAAACTAAAAATTAATATTTATTTACACACCTTTGTGGATTTCCAAATATAGCACTTAGATTACTTCACTAGCCCTAAAGTGATAAAGATATTTGATTCCCTTTCCTTCTCCCTCGTAACACTTCGACAATAACTCTGTGTTTTCTGTTTTGTAGGCCACCAATTGTTTATCTTGTATATTTTTTTATGTTGTGTTTTAGTAAATTAAATATTTGTTTGTGATTTAGCTCTGTGTTGTGGTAAATCATTTTTTTCTTTGTTACAGTTATCAACACGTAACACCATGTCGATGTTCTTTAATCACCCCACCCACTAAAAAATAATTTAGCAAAAACGCAATAGGCCCCCAAAATACTTGCAAAAAACAACAGGAATAAAGGATTGAAAATTATATTCACAAAAGATTATTTTAACTCTCAAATGATTAATTATTTAACCTATTAATCTACACCTAGAGAGGGATGGGCTCCGCGAGGTTAAAACACCCAAGACACGCCACATGATGAACAAGAAACCATTCGCGGGTATGGTTAGGTGTAAATATATAATATCGATTGTTCGAGGGAGGGGTTGAAATGTTTTCAATCTCTGAGATCGAACTGCTAAATTGCTTTTAAAATTGATCCTCCTAAACTAATGAAAAAGTCAAAAATATAAGTTATATCAGAAATTCTGTTTTATTTAATCATTTATTTTTAGAAACGGTATTTTAATCATTGTATCTTGGTTCAGTTAAAACGAATGATTAGGAAGACTTTTCAAGATAAAAAGTCCTTGGCATTAAAATAGAGCCTTACAAAATCCTTATACGTAACTAAATTGTCCGAATTTGTCATTTCCTCAAGGAGCTTTTCCTTCTGCTGCACTCCTAGTTGTTCAAGTCCCATTAGAACTTCTTCTTTTGTCGCTTCCATGCTGGTTTTATTCCCGCTAAAAATGGCGAATATCTCCCTCAGCTTTCTTGTTCTGTAGAAAAAAAAAAGTTGATTAATTATTTAGGTACCTCCACTTTTTCCGGCAAAATTTCCGATACCTAACTTTAAAATAAATTTTTATTGTAAGACCGTAGACCAAAAGTTCGTTCGGGGTAAGGTAGTAGTTCAGAAAGACACAGAAAAAAAAATCAGCACGTATATAGATAGACTCCAGGGAGAAATATCAACGCACATATATGATCGAGTGGGATAAACTTGTGGGAGGAATATCAACACGCATATGTGATCGAGGGACATAGATTCGTCAGAGAAATATCAACACGCATATGAGATCGAGTGGCATAGACTCAAAGGAGAAATAGCAAAATGCATATGAGATTCAGTGGCATAGACTCCAGGGAGAAATATCAACGCACATATATGATCGAGTGGGATAGACTCGTGGGAGAAATATCAACACGCATATGAGATTCAGTGGCATAGACTCAAGGGAGAATTATCAACACGCATACGTTATCGAGTGAAATAGACTCGAAGGAGAAATATCAATATGCATATAAAAGCGAGTGGTATAGACTTGAGGTAGAAATATCAACACGCATATGTGATCCAGTGAGATAGACTCGTGGGAGAAATATCAACACGCATATGAGATCGAGTGAGATAGATTCGTAAGAGAAATATCAACACACATATGAGATCCAGTGGCATAGACTCGGAGAAATATCGACACGCATATGACATTCAGTGGCATAGACTCCAGGGAGTAATATCAACACGCACATGAGATCGAGTGAGATAGATTCGTGGGAGAAATATCAACACGTATATGAGATCGAGTGGCATAGACTCGAAGGAGAAATATCAATATACATATGAAATCGAGTGGTATAGACTTGAGGTAGAAATATCAACATGCGGCATATGTGATCGAGTCAGATAGACTGGTGGGAGAAATATCAACTCGAATATGAGATCGTGTCATAGCCTCCAATGAGAAATATCAACACTCATATGAAATTCAGTAGCATAGACTCAAGCGAGAAATATCAACACACATATATGATCGAGTGGGATAGAGTTGTGGGAGAAATATCAATGGATATATGGTCGAGTAAGATGGACTCGTGTGAGGAACATTAACACGCATATGAGATCGACTGGCATAGACTAGAAGGGGAAATATCATTCTCACATGTGATCGAGTGAGATAGACACGTGGGAGAAATATCAATATGAATTATCGTATTGCAATCGTCGAGAGTTAATCTCTGCTGTTGCCACTGGTTTCCTCTGTTACCGGAGTTTGGTGTCGCTGAAGATGGTCTGGTTAATCTTTCCGTGAGAGTCAGTCACTAATGCCAGCATGATCGGGCCGCCTTATGGGCAAAATCAACGTTATAGTGAGTCAGTGGGTCCGAAACGGCTGCTGTGAAAACCGCGTAGAACTTTTTCGAGATTGGTCAGAAACGATGTTTTATGATGGAACGATTACATTGTAAAACTTTCCTACATCAACAGAGTAAATAAACCTACATGAAAATATATGTCATTTCATATTAACATCTGCGGCATGATTGATACTGGCCAAGATGAAGAGAAACAGGACCTGTTAGAACTATTACAGTCCCACAAGGTCCTGCTGCTTTGAAATTTACAGCATCTCTATTACAATCTCATATAATGTCTGGATCGATAAGATTAATGAAATAATAAATTAAATATAGATCTTTCTCTGTCTGAATTTCTAAAATGAAAAGTTATCATTATTGATATTTTTTACAAGTACACTATTGTCCTCATCGTAGTTGTTGCTATCACAACGTTTCGACCGGTTTGCCCTACGGCTTTCATCAGGTCTATGTCAGGCTAATTTCGAAATGACCCTTTACTTAATCTACGCGGATAGAAGTCTAGGGATATCTCGACTAGTTCTTATTTAGTACAGCTCACTTAATGCAAACCCCGTTTCTACACTGCTCGGACCAAGGACTGGAATCCCAAGTACTTGTCACCAAACGCTTGAATCAACTAGGCTATTGTCTTGTGGGACAATTATGTGTGAAGAACTTGAAGTCTTAAACCTAACCTGCCCGCCGTTGAGTGCTGCTAATGCAACTCGCGCTTGACTGCACACACGGATGTTTCTCTTTTGCTGCAGCAGCTACTGCTGTTAAAAACCTGCTGTTATTTGTTTTTCTTTATTAGCGTCTCCCATATCGTATTTTTTTCCGAAATATATGACAATGGCGAAATACCAGAAGATCTATCTTCATAATTATACCAAAGACGCTATTTACAACTGAATGCAGACTCAAACGGACAATCAGCTTAACGATCCAAATAATTAAACATATTACTAGGATTTTAATGAGTCGATCTTGTAACAGAAATAGATCGGAAATAGGGCAAGGACAGTATAGATTTATTCAAGACACTGGAACAAGAAATGCAATTTTTATGATCAGAATGCTATCTGCGCGAGCAATACAAATACAAAAAGACCTTTTTTTTCATGGATTACATAAAAGCATTTGATAAAGTACGACACAATGACCTACTTGAAATGCTAGGAAAGCTTAATTATATAAAGTAAAGATATTAGCGTAACCTGCAACTTTTACTGCGGACAAACAGCATGCATGCGAATTGAGAATGGGTTCAGTGAATACCCCAAAATAAAAAGAACAAGACAATAATTTATTTAATTTATACGGCAAGATGATCCTAAGAGAATTAGAAGTCCTACTAGGATTTATTATCGACAAATGTAATCTTAAAACTACGCGAATGACATTGTGTTGAGGGCAGAAAACAAGTAAAGAAAAGTCAGAAGAAAGGACTATTAACTAAAGGGTGTTCCAATAACTTGGACCGATTTTAAATGTGAATTAAGTTTAAGCGTCTAATGATTTTTTTCTTTTTTCTTTCAGATTTGGCGGACATTTGGGCGATATTATTTTTCACACATAATTGCCATGACTTAAAAAACATGATCCAATAGAGAAATAAATAAATTTTCACCAATAACACTGATTTATTTACTCCTGACTTTGATCCGTCTTAATGAAACACCCTTATATATAATCCGTCTTAATGAAATACCCTTTATAAAAAAAAAAACATAATATATGGTTATTAGTAAAAGAGGCAGTCCTACATGTGACCTACATGTTAGGGACGTCAAAATCAAGCAGACGCAGAAATTTATCTATCTGGGTAGTGTAGTAACAGACAACGGAAAACATGACACGGAAATCCAAAGACACATAAGAATACTGAAAGATGCCTTCCAGAAACTAAGTAAAAGATTAAAAGATAGAAACGGTTCGTTAGAAACTGAGAAAAACTGCTGAACTGCTTTTTAATACCTAATCCTTTATGCTTCAGTGAAGGCTGGTTAATCTCTTCACAGAAGACGAAGAGACCTGAATCGACAAATGCTGAGAATACTATAGATGGAACATGTGAGCAACGAGGAATATGCTAAGAAAAATACCAAACTAAAAGGACATTTATACATAAAGTTATTTTTTTCTGGGACACAAAACGAGGGAAAAGGGCCTGGAGAATTCAAAACTCACAGGAAATTGAAGGCCAAGAGAAGAAAGTGAAAACAACGAGTTTTGTGAACAAATTTGTGAGAACGGATACCAAGACAAATAAGGTAAAGAGTCAGAAGTTGATTGAAGCAAAATGTAGGAAGTTGAGGAGAGCCATGATCTCCCGTAAAAGAAAAAAAAGAAGATTTGCGTTGCTTTTCATAATTTTCACGAAGTTATATTCAAATTTATTCACTTTCGCATAAATAACGATATAAAAGATATGAATACATTCCTTCCCCCCGCCCCTAGCTGTAGGTTAAATAGAAGGGTAGACTGGGCTCTCCTGCCTTGGTTAGTAACTCTTCTAAAGAAGGATAACTCTGAATCAAAAATCAGTTGGACGTGAGGCTGGAAACTCTACCCCTTACAAACCTACTTGTTACGGAAACCACAGCAGCAAAGTACTGAGAATGTTGTATACATATATAGAGATTTTTCAAAAGCCAATCAGACAATTCCGAAATGACATTTACAACCTCCACCTAATTAGTCGATTCAGATCAAACAATGAGAAGTGAAACAGTGGAAAAAAAATGGAATCTAAAAAAGGAGACTGGCTGGTTTGAACTCGAATCCACAGATTCACTTGGCTAATTAAACGTTTCCAATATTTCAAACTAAGAACATTTTTAGTACATTGTATTCATATCTGTGCCTATCAACACCTACGGATCAAAAGATCAGGTCATCGTCTGAGTTGGAAGGGGTTTGGGAAGATAAGAATTTAGGACAAGTGTGTCAATTTAATGATACGAAGTTATTGTTTTGAGGAAAATGGTAATTTCTGAAAGAAACTAAGAGAAATGTCGAGAATTACTGAACCTAAATATATATTTTTTTTAATCGAATTCACCCCAAGCAAGGCAGGAAAACCACTAAGACACAAGGAATTACTGTGTGTGAAAGAATTAGAAAATAGAAATATTACTAATGTCGGAGTTAGCTCCTCCTTAGCTCCTTAACCCTTTCACCAGGGGTCTCTCTCCCCTGGCTATAAATACTCGCTGACCCTTCGGCTCTTCCTCTTTTTCCCTCAGGCTTACCACCTCGCAGATGTGAACGCTCACAGATACAGCGTTTCCCAAATGCTGGGAATACGCTAAGCACAATACACGTACGTACGCACACTCACCACAACACAACACAACACAACACACACACACATAATATTCACCACACACACTCTGTCAATGTAACTGTCCATGTAACTTGTACTTGTTGTTAATACATATATTTGTTTACATATATTTATCGGTCTTGTGTTTGTTTTTCTTTGCCTTCTTTGGACTTTATTAAAGTCCAACTTTCTCATGTAGTTGGACCGGCTAGCAGGAAAATCTGAACCCACATGTGTTCTTCTACGTCTACTCAACAACATCACAGCCACGGTCCTCTGCACTAATTAGCGAGAACAAAAGAAAAATAA